AAACAGGGATTCATTTTTTCATTTTGATATAACACTGCAAAAACTCACATAAACATGCAGAAAGAAAATTAACTCAGCTAAAAAACTGCTTCTTATTTATTGTGTTAAACTACCAGAAGTGGAGGAGCGCTTGTTTTCATGTGGCTGTGGCTGCTGCTCGTGATTTGTTGCATCTGTGGGCAGCTCAGGGTTTCAGTCCAGGTTGCATGAATAGCTAGTGGAGCATATCTTGCTGCTGTCAATGTCGTGTCATCTGAAGACATAAACTACAGCTACCATCTCCCGTCCTACCCTCTTCCTTCCTGTAAGTTTTTCTCAAGAAGCCTTAAGATCACCAAATCAGGAAAAAGTTAAAGAAAACAAACAACGTCGGTCTTAGTGAGAATAATTTTAAAATCATTAACAACTGCAGAGCTGTTAGCACACTTAGCTATTTCTTCCTCTTATGGCAAAAAAAGCCTTTAAAACATTAACACAGGTTAACTGCCTAGATCAGCCTATTTGATGAATGTTTTTCATCTATCCCAACTAATGAACATTAAGTGAAATGATGACAGATATCGCACAATAACAGAAGGGTAAATGTCTTTGAAGAAGTATTAAATCCACATGTACAAGCCACTTACACCATCCTCAGCTGACCCATTACCTGTAAGGTGGAGGATATATGATAGTATCAATTGCTGGAATAAATTTTCACTTTATCAATGTTATAACAGTTGATTAGGTATTATGGTTGTTTTATAGGCTTCAGTTTGTGATGCTATTGGATTGGGTGATTAGTAACAGTCATAATGGCAGCTTTTAAATTGGACAATATTGTCCTATTACAGATATATAGGTTCAATTCATGAAATTGCTTTGCTTGTTTTTTGTTTTATAGAGCATAACAAAATGCTTCATGTAATTCATGAATAGTGTCAAAAAAGGTTTGTTTGCACAGGATCTCTGGCTCTGTTGTTTACAGTAGTCTCAGTACTGTTTGCAGTACATGTAGCAGAGTAGCATCATCTGTGATGCAGAGTTAAGCAGTGCATTGAATGGTAACTAGTTTGTGAAATACATTAATCAAATATAAATATAACACAATATATATACACTACCGGACACTTTATTAGGTACACCTTGCTAATACATTTCTCAGTGTTTTTAGCATCAGACAGGTGCAGAACGTTTGTCAGCTGCATATGCATGGTCACATGTTCATCCCAAAGGTGTTTTTTGGATTGAGATTGGGTAACTGCATAGAGGTTTGAACTTTGTGATGTATTATCCTGCTTGAAGCAGCCATCAAAAGATGGGTACATGGTCAGTAACAATGCTCAAGTAAGCTACAGTGTATTCCCCACAGCATTACACCATGAACAGCAGCCTGAACCATTGATATCATTGATACAAGGCAATTCATGTTGTTTATGCCAAATTCCGACCCTACCATCCAAATAGGGAGCTAATGTGGTCTTTCAGGGATGCTCTTCTAACAAGTGGTTATTTGAATTACTGTTGCCTTCCTATGGGCTCAAACTAGTCTGACCATTCTCATCTAACTTCTAATATGAGCAAGGCAGTGAGCCAGTGAAATCCCGAAGCTCAGCAGTATCTGAAATGCTCAGATTAGCCCATCTGCAACCCAGTAACTGACACAGTCACTTATATCTTCATTCTTCCCCATTCTGGTGCTTAGATCACTTTATCAGGTTGTCTTGACCATGTCTATGTGATTAAATGCACTGAGTTGCTGCCATGTAAGTCACTGTTAGACATTTTATGTTAAAGAGCAGTCGTTAACAAGAAGAAGTGTACCTAAAAATGTGGCGGGTGAATGAAAATTAAAAAGGAAAACGAGCGTGCTGTCTAGTAGGGTGAGAAACTTGAACACAACAATCCATCTAATACAATGAAGTCAAGTTAACTATACTTTAACTTCACCATGTTACAATCCATCACTCTCGCCACTCTCTCCATCCATGATATGGATAACGTTGTTCCATGAACCAACCTCGAATGATATCACCAGTGCTTATCTGACTATGAATTGGGTAGAGAGAAAAAAAAAAACCCCAATAATACACTGAAATAATCATAGAAAAATGTGCCTGAGGCCAATTTACAACATAACTCTTTAGCAGAGACCCAAGTCTGAACTGAGAAAGAACGGCAATTAATACTATTATCCTGAAGGGACCGAGCTATTAGGGAATAAAATGAGAGTTGTAACCACTATGTTTTTAAAAAGTGAAATTTAAGACCCCACATGATATTTTATGCAGGAACACTTTTTAATGCCTTCATTTCCTTATACCGTTTCTTTTACCTATGACAGCTTTCCTAAAATAGATGAATTGGTGAGTCCAAAATACTCTGAGCAACAATGAAGTTATAGTAAAGTTTTTCACTCTTGTCACTCCCAGGCCCTCTAACAAAGTGAAAATTCCCTCCACACCAAGCATGAACTGATCCAGAAGGCTAGCTGGAGTTTTTGAACACCAAGACATCTCAAAGTGGCAAACAATTCTTCCATGATGCCCTTCTAAGTTGGGCCAAGCCTCACATCTAGTAAAAGCCATCAATTACTTCTTCAACAGCCCTGCTAATAAACAAACTAACTAATCACGTAGCCTCAGAACTAATAAGCTTCTACAGCAAGACTGACAGCAAAGCCTAGTAGAATAACCACTAGCACTCACTGAAGAGCAATAATCCCCTGCAATCACCTACTGAACAGAGTGAAGATGCAACAAACGCTTACCTTTTATGAAGGGATGCGGTGATACTGCATGTCAGAGACGGGCTACTGGGACGTGTTGCACTAATTTAGCTCCAAGCTAATTTGACTTCAAGATTGAAGTGGCTGAAACTAATATGATGAACAGCCAGCAGAACGTCTCCAGTGAAAGAAGCAACAATACAGCCTTATTTCTTCAACAAAGTCTTCCTGAAACAGCTTGATAACAATGCTACAGCCTAAGCTAACACCAGCAGCTCATTGAAGAGGGCGCGTTTGATTTATATTACATTGAATAGTCAAAAGTCTTGACCCACCTCTCTTTCTTTAATATTTGGTTAAAAAAAAGAAAGAAGTAGGTGTAGAAGCATATTAAAACATTTGCAAACATGCATGTAAATGCATGATATAAGGCAAAATAGAGATTGCACAACTGTAACACGCTTGAGAGTCCATATTTGGTATGACCACCTTTAGTCCTCAGCATAGTCTCTTAGGAACACTTTCCAGCAAGTTTATTTAAGTAGTCTTCAGGAATACTTCTCCAGGGTTCTTCAAGAACATCAAAGCTCTTCTTTGGATATTGGCTGACTTTTGTTCCGTTCTCAATGAAGACAATCCCACACTACTTCAATAAAGTTGAGGTCCAGGCTGTGTTGAGGTCTACGATAGTTTTCCTTTGTGTATATCCAGGTATGCTTTCACTGCCCCGGGAGTGAGTTTGAGATCACTGTCATGCTGAAACATTCAGCCGTTGCCAACCAGATGCTTTCCAGATGGTGTTGCATTATTGGATCAAAATGCGATGGTACTTTTCTACATTCATAATTTCATCAGTTTTATAAGATCGCCCAACACCACTGACATCCCCAAACCATGAAGAGTCATCACGGTGTTTTGCACATATGGTAAATGGACTAGTATATACAGCACCTTTCTACCTTGTACACAAAGTCTAACCGCTTTCTCGAACAAGCGGCACAATTGGTTCAGGATATTGGCAAGGATACTTCAACGTGCAGGCTGGAGGAGCTGGAGATCAAGTCATGGACCTCCAATTTGGTATACAACCCACTCAGCCGCTGTGGGTATAAAGCAGGGGTGTCCGATTCCAGTCCTCAAGAGCTATTGTCCTGCAGCTTTTAGACGAGTCCTTGTTCCAACACACCAGGCCTTTGCCAAACTTGATGGCATATTGAAGAGGTAATCCAACCATCTGATTCAGCTGTGTTGGAGTAGTGATGCATCTAAAAGCTGCAGTACAGTAACTCTCGAAGACTGGAGTTGGATACCCCTGGTATAGAGAGTAGAGCAGGGGTGGGCAACTCCAGGCCTCGAGGGAAGGTGTCCTGCAGGTTTTAGATCTCACCCTGGGTCAACACACCTGAATCAAATGATTAGTTCATTACCAGGCCTCTAGAGAACTTCAAGACATGTTGAGGAGGTAATTTAACCATTTAAATGGACGTGTATCTGCAGAATCAAGTACAAACCATTCCAACTTCCTAATTATAATATTTTCGTATATTTTGACAGGTGCTGGTTCGGTTCTGCTGTCATTTTTAGATTGTATTTTTTGATTTCTGTTATTTGGTCAGTGCCCTGCATATTGCCACCAGTGGCCCGGGAGCGGCGCCACAGGGACAGTGTGTATTCTTGAATCATATTACTCTTACTGTAATCAGGCCTGCATTCATACATGGCTGATTAACCCACAAAGGGGCTGGTAGGGGGAAAAACAAGCAGCTCCTGATGAAGCCTTTTTATTTTTCCATATTTTTCCAGTGCTTCTTATCATATCTGCACCCAGTTTTTCCCATGTGTCACATCTACCACTGACTCCTCATCCATGTAGCAGTTTCTTTTAATGTGTGCCAAAGAATATTTTAACAAATAATAGCAATATCTCATCATACTTTGTGTCAAACATGGCTTTAGATTTAGCATCTGAAAAGTAAGATTTGCATTTTTTTTCTCTCCTTTATTGAATTTGGTGGATTTATTTAAACAAAAAGAAAAAAAAAACAGAGGCTCTTGGAATGTTTATTTTACAATTTTCTAACATTTCATAAAGTAAACAATTGATTCAGTAATAAAATATGAGCTCTTTCATATCATTTTGGGATGCCCTGGAGATGTGTACTGCACATTATACTTCAATATACTGAGTTATAAAATTGCAGGGAATATATATGGCTGTTTCTGGTTATATATTAATCATTAATAAACGGTAAATCATTCTTTCTGTGTTTGTGTGTGTGCGTGCTATCTGCAGGACACACTGCTGGAGCTCCTGTGTGACGCGGTGGTGTCGTCAGGACAGCAGGGAAAAGGTCTCGTGATCAGCGGCTTCCCCAGAGATCTGAGACAGGCGGAGGAGTACGAAGCGAAGGTCAGAGCACAAAGCTGATGGAGTAGACAGCGGGATGTGGTCAGAAGCATGAATAAAAGAAGGGGGAAAGTCAGCCGTGAGTCGTGGTGTATGCACAAAAAGTTCAGTCTGAGCAAAGTGAAGGAATCACAAGAGTCGCACGTCACTGTGACGAATGCTAATTAAGTCTGATTCAGTGCTAACATACGAGTACAAAGGGGTTATGAAAACAAGATTTGAAAATAGGAAAGAAGTGATCAGAATGAATGCACATAGAAATGTGGACTGCGGATCATTCAGGATGAAGGCCGGCCTGCAGACGAATGTAGTTAAAGGGGAAGTTCCTGCTTTTAACTTCTAACTGCACCTGTTGTGTGTGTCAGATGGGGGAACCCAGTGCAGTGCTCCTGCTGAACTGCTCAGCCGACACCATGTCCAATCGCCTGCAGTGTCGTGGGAGATCCGGCTTCCAGGCCGCCCCAGACAGAGACAGCATCCTGCACAGGAGGGTGGAGAGCTTCTGCAGCGACACCCAGGCGGTGGCGGCTCACTACGAACACAAGAGGCTTCTGCACACGGTAAGATTGGGAAGCAAACTCTGTAAGGGTTAGAGGTTCAATTCCATATGGAGGCTTACTTTCCTTAAAGGAACAAATCCAGTTTAAATCCACTTCGTCTAGGCTGGAAATCCATTTACACTTAGATGTCCTTCAAACATCTCCCAGCGCTCTTTTATCTATAAAAGGAAATCGTTTGCCGGGATGTTCTCACTCACAGAAAAGCAGCCGAAGAGTTCCCAATAATCACTTCATTATCTCTCATATGTGAGTCTAACTGTCCTGCATGACTGGAGTTTGCAACTTTACTGTATTATTCAATACAACCAGCTCAGATTTGACATGCTGGATAAATAATAATCACGAGGATTGTTTTTAAAATACAAGCGTGCCAGCCTCTATGATCTTAGAGGAGGAAAACAAAGGAAAACATAGTTCACCAGAGAGAAGCCTGTCTTAGATCAAAAGACTGCATTAGTCAGAAGTAACAGTGGTTTGTATTATTATGCATTATAATTCAAAATTATTTATATGTGAATAGCATATTAATGTGCTTAGTTTTAACGGTGCGATCCCAGAGTATTGAATTTTATACTGAAATTTATTGGGTGCTGTATTAATGACGCTGGAAACAGAACCAAACAATTAGATGCAGACTACATTATCTAAACAGGCTTTCCAACCTTCATGTTTACTGAAGGCTTTTGCGTCTTATAATATAATTTATTCTGTGTTTTGTGCACTAATTCGTTCATGTTTACTTTAATTTAGTTATTTTTAAATTGTGGTTAAAAAACATTAAATAAAAGCAAGGGTTGTGTGAATTGTTTGCCCTCTCTCATCTGAAGTGTTTGACTTTGTCTTTACAAAGATATCCATTTTATGTGTGCACTGAGGCAGTTATGTTTTAATTATTCTGCCAGTTCCTAGGGGTAGGTACAGTATCAGGGGTGGTGGTGCCATTTTTGGAACATGTTCATTTGCCTTCCCGAGTAAAAACATAAAAGATCCAAAGGGATAAATAAGAAAACGCCAGGGCAATTCTAAATCACCATTTTTGTTTGTTTGTTTTTATTCCAAAAATTTCCATCACAAAGGTAAACAGGGCTTAAGTTATGTGTTTTGCTTCAAAGTTTCCTGGAGAAGGAGCCCTAGACCCCCTGCACAAATCTGCATCCATCTTCCAGTTGGTGCTGATTTTGTTTTACGTAATAGATGTGAGACAAGATCCACAAAGTCATCCTTCTGTGCCAAGAAATCTAAGACTCAGCTGAAACCAGCATAAAACTGCAGCAGTATAATCTCAATCCGTCCATTGCAGTGTCCCAAGGTAGAACTGCAGGAAACAGAGACGGTAACAAAGACCAGAACTAAAAACAGAACAGAAAGAAAAACCAGAACGAGGCTCAGGGGGGGGCAGCCATCTGCTGCAGCCGGTTGAGAGTGAAGGAATAGAGTAAAGGAAGGAGAAAAGAGACAGAGAGCACAGGGAGACAGCACAAAACACAAACTAGACGTGCTGCTGTGGTAAACACAGAGGGAGTGAAAACAGCATTAAACCTGCATGCTTTCTAATGGCCAACAGAGGGGAAACAAATCTATGAGATCAACAAGCTTACTTCTGTCTCAATCTGCAACCTCAGAAGACAGCGTAACATAGAAAAATACATATTAAATAAAAAGAGAAAAAGAAATAATAGTGAAAGCTGGGAAAACAGAAACAAAGCACAATAGAATTTACAATAAGTAAATTTAAAGGTTTTTTAAAAAGTGACCTAAAACTAGAAGCTAACTCTGTTGCAGCTAAGTCTTATAATCCTGTGTGGAAAATGTGTGTTTGCAGCCTGCATGCTTTAAATAGTAAATAAATAATATTCACGTTTCTACTCAAATGTCTCAAAACACCAACAGCTGAAAGGGTCATCGAGTGGAAGAACAAATAGGCGAGCCTCTGTTTTAAGAGTGAATTGTATTCAGATTTTGTCCGACCGCTTACTGCTTCCTAATAAGAATGTAGAAATGTTTTAACTAAAAATAGCTGAAGATGGTGTAAGTTTCAAAACAATATTGTGTGAAGGTTGTTCAGTGTGAGTCCTTAAAATTCTCATTTACATATTTCTGGCAAATACATCTGTGTTAGCAGACATCAGTGTTTCCATTTGGATGCTTTACAGTGGGAAGTAATGATTAGCTCTGTTTAGTGTGACCTAACCAAATCCTTTTAATCAACTTTCCCTTCCGCTCCGACATCGTGTTGATGTCCGTCTTCCAGCTCTTCTTCCCATTCCTCCTGCTGCTCCGTTCTGATTTAGCTTCAGTTAATTGGCATTGGCAGTTTATTCCATTTTTGGAAAAGCCTTGCATTTGCTTTGCTCACAGAAAGCTTTGCCACTTGATTTGTTCGCCAAGATTTGAATTAGCCAATGACAAGTTGGACAAAACCCAGCTGGTGAAAGATAATCACTGATGACACCTGGATACACAGAAACAGGGGAGCTGATGGACCTTTTTCACAGCAGGCAGTCTGGTTTGTCACAGCAGGTAAAAGGTAGCTGCTCTCCATTTAGGTGAGCTGTGTCCAGGGTCACGTGATTTCACGGCTGTGCTGGTAAAGGTTCATTAGTCTTAGTCTTAGGTATCCAAATTCATTTCAAATAAACAGTATAAACGATGCATATATTTACCATACGGTCACCCACTGGTTTGTGAGTATTTTCATTTTCAGCATCATTCATTTTCTAATGACTTAGTCGCAGGTCGTTAATCAGTGACACCCTCAATCGCCCTATTTTAAGGATTAAAAATAATCCTTAAAAAATTGTTTAAGGTGTGCCAAAAATTTATTTTTCTTTTATTTGCCAAATATGATTACCAGTATTTAGACTGTTGTAAATGGCATGTTTGCCTATAATGTCTTCAAAATCTCTGTTATGAATGATATCAAGTCAGCTTATGTGGGAAACAGCATTCCTGTCAGAGGGATAGAAGCTCAAATCAGTTTTTGCCAGTTTATTTTTTATAAATCCTTTATTTATCCAGGTAAAAAGTCTCATTGACATTAAAAATGTGTTTTTAAAGAGATATCTAGTCAAGAGTACAGCAGAAATTACAAAAAGAAATACGACATAACAGTTCTATAAGGATGTTTTAAGGACTGGATTAATTATATAATGTGGAACACAGAGTGGATGCAATAAGAAGATCTTCATAAGTCCTGTTGACTACAGCCTATTTGTGGACATAAGCAAAGATATTACACATTAAAAACACACAGAAGCGATCGGCTTTTGGCAGACGATCACTTGTTGGCTTCACTTTTCACACCCAGAAGCCAGATCCATCTTTTATACAGACCATGGTTTATCCTCAGGCTTGTAGAGCGATTTATCCATGTAGACCAGTGGTGTCAAGCATGCAGGCCGAGAGGGCCAAAATCGGGCTGTCAAGGAGTCCCAGTGGAGCCACTGAATGGCTCAAAAATGTCTTTAACGACTGTATTTTCTTAATAATCCCTCCTACACAATAAAAATGTCTATAAGTTGTTTCTATGTGTAGACAAATTGACTGATAGTGATGGAAAATACTTGTTTCTTTGGGTTCCTTTCTGCTGTAATCTGCAAGTCCACATGTAGAGCAGGACAGTCGACTCGATGAATGTGGGAAAAACTGGTGACGTTGTGTTATTTTACTAAAGACATCTCAGGCTGTTCATGATCTTTTTCTCCCAACATTAACTGAATGAGAAAAAAACATTTATCAAGAAATAATAACTATAATCTGTTTTCTGGTCATTTTTTGAGTGTGCGGTAAATCTGGTAAACGTTTTTTTTATAAGTGATGCTTATTTTTTGGATTGTTTTTCTGCTCTGGCCTTTTTTAGATCAAATTGAGCCATGAGCTAAAGTAAGTTTGACACCCTGTGTCTGGATTGTTTTAGGTGTGAGCGGCTCGTTTTTGAAGGCATAGACCATGGACACGTCCATCTTCTCTTAGATATGATAAAACCATATGTCACTCACCTTGCTCTGCTCAAAATACAAAAGAAACACTCACAGGAATGTCTCCCAGTTACTCAAAAAAAGGTACAAACTTATTTGCAAGTAGTTTCATGTAGGAAATATTGTGTTTGTACCAAACTACGCCCGCCAACCAAAGGAAGTGTGCAGCTACTGTTTACATCCTGTCACAATGTCTCGAGCTTCTTTTCTCTGATAGATGGAAAGTTTTTTAGTGGAGAAAACGACTAAAAAGTCACGTAGACTGGAGGCAATTGTGCATTACCAGAGGAGCTCTAATTCTCTGCTGCAGAGCTGTAGAGATGTCTGCCTTCTCCTGAGTATAACTGAAATAAATTGCACTCGTCTCACGGTGCTCGGAGCGCAGTTCCACGTAGGAACTGTTTTCTTTCTACCAGCCGAGAGAAGGACATTGCAGCTCAGCCGAGGGGGAAACCATTAATGTTCACATCCTGTCATCCTGTCAAAAACCTGTCATCTTTGGGTAGACACACACTTCGACACATTCTACCAAACTACACCCGCTGTGATATGTTTGGCGGGTGTAGTTTGGTAGAAAGAAAATAGCTTGAACGTGAAACTTCTAATGACGACACTGACGCTGAGTTTTTTAGTTTTTTGCTCGTTTTGTGGTGCCCTCAGTGCTTTTTAGTTCCTTTATTTTCAAGAGAAGTCAGACATTTCCAAAAAATGACTATACACACTTTTCACCTGAGATGGACAAGATGCTGAAATATGTTGTGTTTAAGGTCAGTGATGCAGGGAAGGACCAACTTTCTGTGAAGTTTTACTCGCCTCTCTGTTTCCACTGACATGAGAGCGATTAGAAAATCACACGCGTTCCTTTCAGGGTTGATCTGCCCCTTTAATAAATTTACTGTTTGAACTTTTAAATGCCACATCAGGTGTGTGTGTGTGTGTGTGCGTGTGGGTGGGTGCTTAAATGCCACATCAGGTAATGAGGTCATCAGTCTGCTGTGAGTTTGCACTGCAACAGGCTGCTGTCCTCAACTGCACGTGGGCTTGCTGGTGGTTTGAGAAAAGGCCTCGCTTTCAGCCGGTTTGTCTCCGTCTGCAGATTGATGCCGAGAGGTCGCCGGACCAAGTGTTCGCCCAGATCTGCCGCTCGATGGAGTCCGGCTTCTGATACCTACACCTTCACATCACACCCCAAACTCTGCAGTCGAGGAGGGTCCATCTAAGAAGACCTTCTCTCTTTCTCTCTGCCGTCACCCCAAGGAGACTCACTCGCATAACCTCACACCTGCGCCAGACTCATTGAACTCCAGTGGTATGCATGTCTTACCTGCAATCAGTGAAACCTCTCTCTCTCTCTGCTTTTTGACACTGACAAAGCGCCTGGTTGTCACATTCTGCTTCACAAAAATGCATCCCCCCAACCCCATCCCCTCTTCTGTCTCTCTCTGTAAAATCAACCTCAATATATGCTGCCAACTGCCACACCAAGGCAGATAACTGTACTGAGAAAAATAGCAGTCCCTGCTGTGACTGAGAGCATGCTGGAAGTGAAATCTCGCCACCTTCCCACCAGAGGAGCTGAGCAAGGTTCCCCCTGCCATACTACAAAGTGGAAATGTCAGTGTGTACTCGTGCTCTCACGCACAGCACCTTGCTTCTTATTGTAACAAGCATGCAAGAGTTAAAAGTTAAGCTTAACTGCCTTTTGTGCATTAAATTTAAAAAGGAAAAAAAAACAGAAGCAAATAAAGAGTATTAATATTACTGCATTTGTATGTTTCCAAGCTCATCGTACAGGTGCGTGGTTTGGTATTTAACATTCAATAAAGCCAGTGCATTTGCTAAATGGAGCATTTCTGAGTGTCCTTTGGTGTGGTGTGTAGCGTGCAGCATCAGAGCTGAGCTGACAGCGCCATCTGCTGGTGAGAGGATCGCAACAAAAAGGCAATTAAGTGATAAGTGTAACAGGTCAAGACAGGTGAAATTCCCCTTTCTGTCAGGATAAAGAAGTTTAACTACACATTTAATCTCTGAGATATCTACACATAAGAAAAAGGAGTGCAATTTTAACAGAACTTTTTTTAGTTTTTCAACATGATAAAGAAATGCAGCTGTAAATGAAAGAAAGTTGAATTTAAATTGTAAGAAATGCATGTTAAATTTCAGGAAAAGTTTCTGTTCATTCACAAGAAATATCCTGTTACTTTTTACTGAGCATCTGTTAATTACTTTGGTGTAGTACGGATGGCCATGGTGGAGGTCTTTATCAGTAGGAGAAGATGCAAAACTTATTAAAATAAAAGTCCAAAATATATGCACCCTGCCTTATTTTCCAAAGATTTTTACGCCCCTCGGGCCTTATGTTTTACACCCCTGGTTTAAGTGTTTAGCGTTTCAGTTAAAATACACAGAAAGATCATTTGGACATGTAAGAAGTATGATGAGAGGGGAGGAAAAAAAGAAGCACTTTCACATCTTCCTGACAAACTTGGGTCAGGAAGAACAAAATATCAGCACTGTTGGTTCCAGCAGGTGGAAAGAGGCAGAAAATTAGCTGTCACACAAAGTGCTTCTCTCCCAGTGAAAGGTCACCAGCATGGCTTTATTCTGCAAAAGGACATTTCCTGTGTTTCATACCACAGTGAAATTGCAGAAGAAAGTCTATAGAACACTTGCACGAGAAAAAGCTTCACCAAGAAGCACTTAAGATTTAATTGACAGCAATAAAAAATATTTTACAGTTAACATTTTCATTCAGGTTCTGGGAGAGACTCAATTACTCAGCATCAATGACAGGACTGCCTCATTATGGCCAATATTAAAATTGCATCCAACCCCACTTAATGTGACAGCTATAATCTAGAATTTTAATACACATCATTTTGAGCTTTTATTGCGCTTTTTTCCTTCTTGGGTGATTATCTATCCATCCATATTTTTACTCATAACTTCTTTTCCTCATTTGTTAGAACTGTACTCACCACTTTATAAGCCAGCTAAAATTCAAGCCCTCCTAAGGGTCCCTTTGATTTATCAAAAAGCTCAGGATTCAGGCTAGTTCATCTACTCTTGGTTCTGTGTGATCCCAAGCACAGAAGCCACACCCACCCGGTGTTCAAAACAGCAGTTTCAGAAGAAAGCTGGGTTTAAGGGTGTGTGAGGACTGAACCGTGAATCAACTAAAGCTATTCTAGCAGAGTCAAAATCAATTACTTAGTTCCTAAAAATGATGTGAAGAATTTGCTACCAGTTTGCCAGGGTTCAGGGTTTGCTATAAAACTGAGAAAAACACAGATTAATCCTGCTGAGCCAAACTCAGGGTGACTTTGATGGCTGATAACAGAGGAAGCACGGATATAGAAAAACTTATTTTCACATACTTTTATTTCCACAGTTCTCCTAGCATTTTTTAACATTATTATTTTATTTTTTTTACATAAGAACAGACTGTTATACACAGATATTGAAGCAGGGCAAAGGGGGTGAGGGAAAGAGACAAAAACCATACAAAATGGTGTCTACTCAAGCACAACAAAATCTATGTGTATAAAATTGTGTGGGTTGCTCCACTGTGGTGCACCAACCACTACCTCAATTATTTATCTTTTTTTAAATAGATTAATAAAAATACAATCTTTTAAATGGACCTTTAAGGTGGACTGCAAAATTAAAGATCTAGAGCCATGATGACTGGATCAATAAAGTAGGACAGTGTGGGTCAACGGAGCCACGCAGGAAGGGAGAAGTTGTGGCCAGGTTAAAGGTCCCTCCCCCCGCCAAAACAACAGCCTCTTTTTTTTTCCTCTTAAAAATGGCACACAGCATCTAGCGCTGGCTACTTTTCACCATACACTTGTACACTCAACATGATCAACAACGGCACACACTGGGGGCGGAAAAAGAAGAAAACAAAAACGCAGTCTTGTGTATTTTCCGTTCACACGCCTGCCTTCGGAAATGTTTGCTCTCCGTGCTGTAGTGCTTCTTGTTAGACATGTTTTAGTGGAGAGAGCAAAGGAAAGGGAAACAGATGAAAGTTTGTTATCTGTGTGTGTTTGAGAGGTGGAGGGGGTGTAGAGAGCAGCGTTTGTGTGACAGTGGTCGTGATGGCTCCATGCTGAAACATGGGAGCTCGATCCGTTTTAACACATACAGATTTGTCTGCAGAACAAAATGTGGATCTGCAGCCTGGAAAACAAAGAAGAAAACAAATGAAAACAAAAACAAAACAAAAAACACTGGCTTCAACCACAGTGTCTGCTGAACTTCACCTGCAGCACCCCAGACGTCTGCTGAGGACACCGCGGCTCATAAATACTCAATCTACGGATACCTAGCTAGAACATTTTCACTCTTGCATAACACAGAGACCACATACACGCATAAAACCACCTATGTGTATCTCAGTTGATGACTTCACAGTCCACTATGACGTGCTGGTTGGCCACCCATCACCATTAGGTGGCGCTTCACCAGACTGATCATCAATTCTCCAGTTTTGAAGCAGCACAGGGAGGTAACTGGAGGGCGATGGGGGGGAGAAACGGGGATACAGGACAGCCCTGCTGGAGTCACGGAGCTCGGGAATGTCGTGTGCCTTCTATTTTCTTTTTTTGTTTGTTTTTAAAAATAGTGTATCGTTTTCAAATCACGGATCCGTTGAATAACCTGGCTGAGGTTGAGCAGGGCTTCCCCCCTTTTCTTTTTTTTTTCCTTTTTGAAATATTTATTGAGGAACCGTCATGGCCACCCTTTGCTCAAGTCAGGGAGGTCAGTTACCAACAGCCCCCCCACCAGCAGCACTGGTCTGCTCTGAGGACCCCGGCTGTCTGCCTGCCTAATGGCCTTCCTGCCTGGCGGCGGGTTAAGCGGTTATCTTGGACTTGAAGGATGGAGCCATGCACAGAGTGGCCTGTGGGATATGTGGAGAGAGCCTGGAGCTAGGGGTGCCTGGGACCCTGTCATCTGTTGGCTGGGAAGTAATTGGGGTCCAGGTAGTTGTAACCTGTGCTCTGCGGCAGGCAGTAGTCCCGGTCCAGGAAGGTTTCTGCCTGGTACACTGGCTCCAGATGGTGGTTAGGCTTGTGGGTCTCAGTCTTGAACAAGCTGGAAGATAAGGAAATGATACTGTAAGAACCACATATAAGCAATTTTCCAGCATTACATTTACTTTGACATATTGGGTCTCACACTGGAAAATTTTCACTGAGGGCTGTTTCCCCATAGATTTATATAGAACTGGAAGCCTTTTTATAACTACACTGCCACTGTGGCAGTAGCTATTTAAAGAAATGCACGTTTAAGGCACTTCAGTACTGTCTTTCTTTTTTAGACCCACGAACTACAGCCATCTTGCGTTCCATCTACCATCTATGGTAACTACACGCCATCAGACAGGTAAATCACGTGTTGTACTGTGAGATTAACTTGTAGTGTACAAAAAGAAAAACATGCAAAGTCAATGATGACTGCAGGAACCTAAAAATGTTCTGTGGAAAACCTTAAAAAATGAAACAAAAATGGGGTTCAGTTTAAACTAGCTGTTAGTGGGGGGATGAATGTTATTTAGTGAATGGCATACCACAAACAAATGTTTTCATTTCCACCATGTTAAATGTGTTAAAATGTCAGCAATATTTTCATCATGGTGCAAAGCGACCAGCACTGTGTATGACTGTTTGGTAATAAAGGAAGTGGAGCTGACCAGTCGGAGCAGTTGGAGCAGAAGTCAACAGAGTTGTCAGGCGGACAGTCCTGACAGTGCCACCGCACACCCAGGATGGGCTCCATACCACAGACGTCACACTGCACAAAACAAACACAAACATATTCATCGTCCACAGAACACACTCCCACAAAAGTATGAACATATTAACACCTTCTCTACACTACAAACTTGCTTCTGAAGGCCTTGGAGTAATTAAAAGAATTATTATTCAACAATGCCATTAAAATGTGCACATTTTTTAAGTTCATTTTAAAGCTTTGCAGCTTAAGGCGGAACTACTTCCAATATTTCACAGCCTCCAGTAGTTCTATTGGGACCTGTTAAAATATAGTTGTTACAGTTTATTTATCGTCTTATGACAACACATTAAAAAATAAATATTTCCTCTGCCGCCAACTTGAATTTTTTTCCCCCTCAGGGTACGACTTAAATGCATAACATTTTGAGGGAACATGTATATGCAGATTCCTGATCTTAATGTCATCACGGCGCAGTCTTTACCTTATAGCCTATGTGCCGGATCTCAGTCTTATCCTCCTGGATCTCCTGGAGCTTCTGCTTTTTCAGACGTTTCAGCTGTAAAAGCTCTTTGTATTCTGGCAAACTTCTCAGCTCCACAGGTACACTCTCTTCATCCTGTTCAGACAAACAGGATGTTGTTTGACAGTCATCAGGAAAACCACGTACATAATATTTCCTCAACAACTCCAAGGATCTAATCTAGATGCTTTTTACCCTGCAGACTTATTTACAGCCCGCAGCGATCAGTCTAATTTTAGCTGGACACAAGCAACGTATCGATAAGAGAGTACATACTGTCTTTCAGCCTAAAGAACAAGAGTGAAAAACATGGTGTCCTTTACAAAGACACAGCTACCTCCAGCTATTTGTATGAAGAAAAGAATAAAGCAAACAAAATGCAGCATTTTATTTTACAACAAAAGCATCACACTTCTATGTTTTGACAAGGAACAGCTTTGTGAGTCCAGTTAGGCTGCCGACGCACTTTCCCTCAGCAGACTTTCAATCTTCCTGCAAACGCGACCAAAATAAAAGACAAGCTGGTGAAGTGAGAAATTACTGTGACCCACGCTGGCAACACCTTTTTGACTTTACTC